TGTTACAATTGTTCTAGTTGTTACAATTGTTCTAGTTGTTACAATTGTTCTAGTTGTTACAATTGTTCTAGTTGTTACAATTGTTCTAGTTGTTACCATTGTTCTAGTTGTTACAATTGTTCTAGTTGTTACAATTGTTCTAGTTGTTTCAATTGTTCTAGTTGTTACAATTGTTACAGTTTTTACAATTGTTCTAGTTGTTACAATTGTTCTAGTTGTTACAATTGTTCTAGTTGTTACAATTGTTCTAGTTGTTACGATTGTTCTAGTTGTTACAGATGTTCTACTTGTTACTTCTCTAGTTTGAGTTTATCTGGTTGTTTGCCTTGCCCAGTTTTTCATTTTTCTAGTTATTCCATTCATTCCAAGTCTTCTTTTCATTCAAGTTGTTCTTTTCATTCCAGCTTTTCTATTTTTATCAGAAGTTCTAGTTGATGAAAATTTGAAAACGTGTCTTTGATTTGTGGGTACTTTGACAAAGCTGTACCGTTACATTTTGAAAGTGTCTGAGAACTGCTTCGATCATGTACTGCAGACATATGGCTTTGTTCTTGCCACCCGCCAGTTTTATATTCAATCCGCTGATTTCAGCTCGAAACTTTCGAAGCCCTTTTGCAAGTTTGCGGAATATATTTGAGGCTCTGTCCAGGATTTAACGCTCAAATCGCCTCTTTCCGTCCGAAATAAATATTGGACACTTCTAAAATTTCTTTTCCCGTCCTATTTTCCATAGATCGATCCTGCAAAGCGGCCGTCGAAAACGCACAGCACGTTCTCTGCTGCAGCCTTTAATTACATGAACTCGATCCTCGGCAGCGGGGTCATAGGTCAGTGACAGAAAGAAACGCNTACAATTGTTCTAGTTGTTACAATTGTTCTAGTTGTTACAATTGTTCTAGTTGTTACAATTGTTCTAGTTGTTACAATTGTTCTAGTTGTTACAATTGTTCTAGTTGTTACAATTGTTCTAGTTGTTACAATTGTTCTAGTTGTTACAATTGTTCTAGTTGTTACAATTGTTCTAGTTGTTACAATTGTTCTAGTTGTTACAATTGTTCTAGTTGTTACAATTGTTCTAGTTGTTACAATTGTTCTAGTTGTTACAATTGTTCTAGTTGTTACAATTGTTCTAGTTGTTACAATTGTTCTAGTTGTTACAATTGTTCTAGTTGTTACAATTGTTCTAGTTGTTACAATTGTTCTAGTTGTTACAATTGTTCTAGTTGTTACAATTGTTCTAGTTGTTACAATTGTTCTAGTTGTTACAATTGTTCTAGTTGTTACAATTGTTCTAGTTGTTACAATTGTTCTAGTTGTTACAATTGTTCTAGTTGTTACAATTGTTCTAGTTGTTACAATTGTTCTAGTTGTTACAATTGTTCTAGTTGTTACAATTGTTCTAGTTGTTACAATTGTTCTAGTTGTTACAATTGTTCTAGTTGTTACAATTGTTCTAGTTGTTACAATTGTTCTAGTTGTTACAATTGTTCTAGTTGTTACAATTGTTCTAGTTGTTACAATTGTTCTAGTTGTTACAATTGTTCTAGTTGTTACAATTGTTCTAGTTGTTACAATTGTTCTAGTTGTTACAATTGTTCTAGTTGTTACAATTGTTCTAGTTGTTACAATTGTTCTAGTTGTTACAATTGTTCTAGTTGTTACAATTGTTCTAGTTGTTACAATTGTTCTAGTTGTTACAATTGTTCTAGTTGTTACAATTGTTCTAGTTGTTACAATTGTTCTAGTTGTTACAATTGTTCTAGTTGTTACAATTGTTCTAGTTGTTACAATTGTTCTAGTTGTTACAATTGTTCTAGTTGTTACAATTGTTCTAGTTGTTACAATTGTTCTAGTTGTTACAATTGTTCTAGTTGTTACAATTGTTCTAGTTGTTACAATTGTTCTAGTTGTTACAATTGTTCTAGTTGTTACAATTGTTCTAGTTGTTACAATTGTTCTAGTTGTTACAATTGTTCTAGTTGTTACAATTGTTCTAGTTGTTACAATTGTTCTAGTTGTTACAATTGTTCTAGTTGTTACAATTGTTCTAGTTGTTACAATTGTTCTAGTTGTTACAATTGTTCTAGTTGTTACAATTGTTCTAGTTGTTACAATTGTTCTAGTTGTTACAATTGTTCTAGTTGTTACAATTGTTCTAGTTGTTACAATTGTTCTAGTTGTTACAATTGTTCTAGTTGTTACAATTGTTCTAGTTGTTACAATTGTTCTAGTTGTTACAATTGTTCTAGTTGTTACAATTGTTCTAGTTGTTACAATTGTTCTAGTTGTTACAATTGTTCTAGTTGTTACAATTGTTCTAGTTGTTACAATTGTTCTAGTTGTTACAATTGTTCTAGTTGTTACAATTGTTCTAGTTGTTACAATTGTTCTAGTTGTTACAATTGTTCTAGTTGTTACAATTGTTCTAGTTGTTACAATTGTTCTAGTTGTTACAATTGTTCTAGTTGTTACAATTGTTCTAGTTGTTACAATTGTTCTAGTTGTTACAATTGTTCTAGTTGTTACAATTGTTCTAGTTGTTACAATTGTTCTAGTTGTTACAATTGTTCTAGTTGTTACAATTGTTCTAGTTGTTACAATTGTTCTAGTTGTTACAATTGTTCTAGTTGTTACATTTGTTCTAGTTGTTACAATTGTTCTAGTTGTTACAATTGTTCTAGTTGTTAAAATTGTTCTAGTTGTTACAATTGTTCTAGTTGTTACAATTGTTCTAGTTGTTACAGTCCTAGGTGTTACAGTTGTTACGGTTGTTCTAGTTGTTACAGTTGTTTTAGTTGTTACAGTTGTTCTAGTTGCAGTTGTTACAGTTGTTCAAGTTGTTACAGTTGTTCTAGTTGTTGCAGTTGTTCTAGTTTTTACGGTTGTTCTATTTGTTACAGTTGTTCTAGTTGTAAACAGTTCTATTTGTTACAATTGTTCTATTTGTTACAATTGTTCTAGCTGTTAAAATTTTTCTAGTTGTTACAATTGTTCTGGTTGTTACAGATGTTCTACAATATTTGTTCTAATTTGCGTTTATCTGGTTGTTTGCTTTGCCCAGTTTTTCCTTTTTTCTAGCTGTTCTATTCATTCAAAGTCTTCTTTTCATTCAAGTTGTTCTTTTCATTCCAGCTTTTCTATTTTTTTCAGTAGTTCTAGTTGAAAATTTGAAAATGCGTCTGTGATTTGTGGGTACTTTGACAAAGCTGTCCCGTTACATTTTGAAAGTGTCTGAGAACTGCTTCGATCAATGTACTGCAAACATATGGCTTTATTCTTGCCACCCACCAGTTTTATATTCAATCCGCTGATTTGAGCTCGAAACTTTCGAAGCCCTTTTGCAAGTTTGCGGAATATATTTGAAGCTCTCTGTCCAGGATTTAACACTCAAATTGCCTCATTCTGTCCGAAATGAATATTGGACAATTTCTAAAATTACTTTTCCCCTCTTATTTTCCATAGATCGATCCTGCAAAGCGGCCGTCGAAAACGCACAGCACGTTCTCTGCTGCAGCCTTTAATTACATGAACTCGATCCTCGGCAGCGGGGTCATAGGTCAGTGACAGAAAGAAACGCGTTGAGCCGCAGAGCATTCATGATGAAGCGGATTTCCGGTCGTGCCACGACTCTTCTTTTTCTTCTTTATTTTATTTTCTTCTTTATTTTCTCCCTTACAGGCATGTCCTTCGCACTGAAAGAAACCGGAATCGGACTCGGCATCATGCTCCTAGTCTTCGTAGGCATCATCAATGACATCTCGCTCGTGCTCATGGTGAAGGGTGGGAATTTGGCAGGCGTGTCGACGTACCAGGACCTGATGATGTTTGCTTTCGGCCGAAAGGGTTTCTACGTACTGACAGTGCTACAGTTCATCTACCCCATCATTGGTGCGTGAAATCTTCTAGCTTTGAGTCGCTGATAGGGTATCAAGTAAAGAAAAACGAACATGGTCTAGATCTCGTGAAGAAAACCTAGTCATTTTCTGGAACATTGCTATCGTTCGAGATATGCAGGTCGTCGTGTGTGATTTTCGCGAGCTGCTCAATTGAAAAGTGTGGTTTACGTGTTAATGCCAGGCATATATCGCATTCACGCCATTATAAACGCCCCTTTTTCCAAGTTCGGAAGATAGAAACAAACTAGGGTTTGCTTATACAGTATTTGCATGTTTTTCAATTCGTGTAAATGTGCCTCTGCATTAGAAAATATTCATGTTTTTGGCCCACAAAACGATCGAACACTTTTTCCTCCAGTTCTTTTGCAATCGAAGTTCAAAATATTCAAGGACTGATCAGCTTTTAGCCCTTCAAGATTCAAGAGTTATTGACTGAAGGCAAAAAGCAAGGGTTGTGTGACGCCTTCATTCCTTTTCCGGGAAAAACCTAAATTCAGTCGGAAATTTCAGGTCTCGGAAAAGTCGCTGGAAGAATAGGTGCATGCTTAAATTCGGATAAATAATTTGGTTTTGAATTAAGAGAATCGTATCATTTGGAATGATGGTCTGCATCATTCCGTCTCCCGCTATTATCAAAAATGTTCCTCAAACTCAATTTCGCTGCTAGGATGCACTGAAGGAAGAGTGTGATGAAATGATCGAAAAATATGGAAATTTTGAGCAGCTGGGACATTTTCAGAACTGCTCCAGTAAGTCTTAACATCTATTGCATACAATACTGTACAATAATTTATTATGCATTATCGATCCTCGGAAACGAACGTACGTGAAAGTTTGTATTACAGTATTTAATCTGTTTTCTCATGAATCATTCTCGCCACTGAAGTTGGAGGCAAGATAGCTGTTGTTGAAATATTTCATATACTTTGCCCAAGAAAAACTTAGCCGAGGCTCGTCATGCAGTATTGTAAATGGAAAGACCGTAGTTCGGTTCCCGTCTGCTCTTGTAAGTGTCGCAAACTTGCTGTTCGAAATTTAGATTACTTCTACTCTTCAAGAATTATAGAAAATGAACGGATACGTTTGTAAGGTTTTATTTTTAAGTGTTGGATTTTTACAAGCCTTACACCTGTAAAGAATTGGTTGATTTTGCTGAAATAAACCTTGTTGGCTAATTAATCAGGAGTAGAATTAAAACACGGTACTTGGCCGGTGCGCGAACCGACCGGGGAACTATTTCCCCACTAGCGCTGACCTTTTCTTTTCTCAATCAAACAGGGTAAGTACAATCAATTTTTCTCTTCTAAATAGGGTGCTGAATTTTACCATCAGCTCAAATTGCCCCGGTAGTTGGGATTTTATTTCCTTCTCTCTCGTTTTTGCCGACTTCACAGTTGACTCCTATTGCCCCGGTTCCGGGGAACCGTTTTTTCATTTATCCTCTTTGTACTGATTTTTGAACCAACTGGTATGACTCTGATTCCAGGGACCAGTTTTTCTTTCTCTTGTCTCATCTTTTTTGGTGCATCCCGAGATGCACCAATTATATTTCAAGTCAGTTTCCCCCTCATTGCGGCAGCGCCTTTGGCTGCAAAAATAAATTTCGCACAACGTTGCTGTCCTCGTGTTGAAAGAGCTTGTGATTTTTTAAGTACGATAGATTAACTATTCCAAGGTTGAAAAAAATAAGAATTTATAGTAAAAAAACATTGTTACTTTTTTTTAAATATATCAAAATACGGCGAAGATTGAAGACAATAACTTTGCTCTCATTCATTCACTCTCAATTCCGATAATCTTCAGATAGTTCAGAAGATGCTTGTCTTCTTACTGCATCAATTTGCTTGTCGCCGACCTGGAAGGAGAGTTGTGTATTATCTTAATGTTTCCTGTTGAATATTTGTGCAGGCCAAAGCCAGCTTGGACTAAACTCACTCGTGTACAGTACTTCATTTGTTTGCGCAGAAAAGCTAATGTACCCTCAGATTATGCTCCTGATCTGCGCTCTCTTCGTTATTCCATGCTCTTTCTTTGATACTTACACTGCACACACCTCTAGCAATGAGTGTTCTCGGGTTCCTCGTTCTTATGATCATTTTCCGAATTACGTAAGAGTGGATGGACTCGAGATTATCCTTGATGGCTTTTGCAATATCCGCTTTCCTTACCGTTTTGAAAACCAAGAAAATAATCGATAAGATCAAAGGTAACGAGAGCAAATTTTCTCTGCGGTGACACGCAGACATTTTAAATCAGAAAGCTTTAGCAAGACCTCGTGAATTTAATAAAATGTCGCTTTCTTTTAATGCGCATGGATAACTTCGAGGAAAAAGAGGAAGATTTTTCCTTTCTGCTTTATTTAAACGATGACAAATATTCTGAACCTTTAAAAAATTTGAGAATGCACTGTTTCCCAGCTGGGTGATTTCCTTTTCACTCAACCTAGTCAACGAAACTACTAAAACAAACGAATACATTACCGATTACGCTGGTTATTGCGTTAGGATCGGTCACTTTCCCTTATTGAGTAACTTTCGATTACAAAATGTACACACAATCATATGACATATATAAATTTCAAGAACGTGAGGCAAAGCACTTGAATAATCCCGAATAGATTACTTTGAGTAAAACTTCACACTTCTACATTACGTGGAATTATTTAATATGTTTTACATGTGTGTTAGTATACTGTATATATTTTTTCAAGAACGTGAGGCAAAGCACTTGAATAATCCCGAATAGATTACTTTGAGTAAAACTTCACACTTCTACATTACGTGGAATTATTTAACGTTGCGAGACCTAGATCTGTATCGAAACTAGTTTTTCAAATGTGCAGAGAGATTTTGTTGTAGGGTCGTTGAATGTTGTTCAATTTTCATCCGTTTACAGAGACGAACCTCCAAATTATGGTGAGTTGTGACCGTAATTTGACAAATTATAGACTCAACGAGTTCCTCTCACGGGACGCAACATTTTTGGCTACCCTTGATTAAATTTGAGAAATGTGAACTTTTTCTGCATTTTGAAATGTATTAGAATCTTCTCTAGTTGTATGACTAAATTGAAAGAAAATCTCCGAATTTTAATCGAGACAAAATATCCTACGAGGAATCCATGGGTCCGGAGGGTTTGAACTCTCGGTTGGTTAAAACTCGCTATCTTTTGGAGCGTCGGTGAGCTTTACGACTTGACAAATTAGACAAAATTCCAAGACCTCTACGAGCATGTTTTTGAGCTCACAGAGACAAATTCTTGTTCAAAATTATTCATGTTCACGCGACGTTCGAACATTCCGTGCGATACACGTGCATGACGGATCACGGGTCGTCGCCACGCGATCTCTTGAATGCAGAAACTGTTTTGAGCAGCTTCGAAGTTTCTCGGGGGGGCATTCAAAGAGCTTACTCAATGATGTGTACAAACTAAGACAGGATTATGGTCTTACAGTATGTGTATGTATTCCGATGCAGCAATGATAAGCTACAACATCGTGATCGGAGACACTTGGTCTCGCCTGATGGTGCGGCTCACGAAACTACCGCCTACGCACGCTGTTTGTCGACGCGAGTTCGTCATCGTCGTCATGACGCTGTTATGCACTCTGCCCATGAGCCTGTACAGAAACATCACCAAACTAGGAAAAATCTCTCTTGTCTCCGTCGTTTTCCTGGTGCTCATCCTCATCATCATCGTTGCGCGCTTCGTCACGCTCGGGGATCTCATGTGAGTCTGTTCTCTCCCCCATATCTTTTTTTTTTGGGTATCCCCATTCTGCTCATTATTCTGAACTCGTTGTCGGCAATATGGACCCTCATCCCGGCAATGATACGAGGAGCGCTTTTGGCAAGCATTGGCAAACTTTTGCTCCTTATTTGGCGCAGTATTTGTTGATTCATTTAACGAGGGAATGGGATCGGAAGTTTATGCAGTACTTCCAAGTGAAGTTCTGTGGGTTTACAAGTTCCCGAATTCGATGCTGTGAGATCAATGAAGATACTGGACAGTTGAACCTCGATAACTCGAACTTCTTGAAGTTGAATATATCCCTGTTTTGAAGTCCATACTTGAATTATTTTTAAAATCCTCTCTAACTCAAAGGCTTTCCCCCTGAATCCCGCACAATTTGAATTTTCTGGAGTCCTTTTGCTATTATTTTATAGATCCAGGAAAGAGAAAAGCAATAAGAATGTAAATTCACGTGTTGTGAAATGAAGTTGGAGAGCAAATTCCTCCAAGTGCAGGATCCTGTCAACTTAAGTAAGGTGAAATTCAACTCAATTCAAGGTCCAGAATGTCAATCAATCAAAATTTCCTGTAATTATTTTTTTTTCCCCCGACAAAAATGCTCGTTTCCCTGACTCAAAATTGTTTTCTGGTCAAGAGGTTGGACTTCAGTATGTTCCTTGGCTGTGAGGATTTTCTCCATTTGTTACTTCAATTTGGACAGGTTTCTGCTGACATCTTAGGGCGACCTTTACATTCGACTTGATAATTCTAAATCTTGAAGCATGATTGTCAGATCTAGAAAATTCTCACGAAATATTCAATATAATGTACTTGAAATACTTCGTGGTTTGTAGAATGAAAATCGTACTTCGGCATCAACACTCTCAGTTTTACGATGCAGTTCCAACTGTCTTCTCACATTTTTTGTTTAACAAGGTTTAAATTGAATCAGCGGTCAGGAAAGGGTCGTGTTCTGCTTTTAAAAAAATTGGTTCATCTACGTCGGTCATTAGAGATTCGAGACATGGAAGAGCTGCAAAAAATTGAAAAAACTTGTGAAACAAACCTTTTACATATACAGTATTTTTGTGGGTCATGATCCCCTCTATTTTCATTCTCCCCTATTTCATCATATAGTGAACCGACTCCAGACGCCTGGAGTTTTGCGAATTCCGGAATCACGCGGGGAATCGGAGTCATGTCTTTCGGTGAGGATCTGTCGAATTTACGACAGTGTTGCATTTTTGGCGGAAAAAGGATAAATGATTAAATTGGGTTTCTTATTCTTTACAGCCTATATGTGTCATCATAATTCCTTCCTGTTGTACAATTCCATGGATGAACGATCTTTGGAAAAATGGGAGAAGGTGACACACATCTCGGTTGCTGCGTCGGCTGTATTTATAGTCATCTTTGGAACATTCGGCTACGCTACTTTCACTGGGCTGACTCAAGGTTTGTTAACTATTTCTTTGTCAGAAATTTTTTCTCAAAATATGCCTGAACACTGAAATCAAATGAACGCGTAATTCAAAGCAGTTCAATGCGGCCTATGCTAAGGCAAAACTAAGTACAGGAATTTTCTTGGAAAAATTGCCGAAGGATTGAAGGTTGGGATATTCATTTTCTGGTCAGACCTGATGGGAACCAAGGGCACTTGAAAGGCGTTGAGCAAGAAAGGAGGTCATTCAAGTTTTTGAAACCAGTCTTCAGTCCAATCGCGGATGTCCTTCAATCTCGTGAATGGACCACACCGGAGTATTTAGGCCCATTTGTTGCGAGAGACGAAAACATGTAAATTGTGTACTTTTCCATTCAAGTCCTTCAACAAACGAGTCCTTGCGTAACAGCTTGAAAGTTTAGCCTCAGAAGTATATGTACCAAAACGGACTTTTCCAAGGCTGATAAACATTTATTTTACTGGTGAAGGGGATTTGCTGGAAAACTACTGCCAAGACGACGACTTGGTGAACGTGGCCCGAGCGATTTTCAGCGTGACAGTCATGATGACGTTCCCCATTGAATGCTTCGTTGCGCGAGAAGTGATCGAACGCACGTTTTGGTCGGCACACGACACCATCACCCTGGAAGATGGTGTCGAGAGAATCGAGGCTGCGACACCATGGTATCGTCACATGGTCATCACTGTCGGCACGGTCGTTTTCGTGTGCATCGTGACGCTGTTCGTGGACTGTCTCGGCGCTGTTCTGGAACTCAACGTGAGTCTGGTTTATGCATCTTGAAACTATATTTTCGGTCACCAATGAGACGAGGATACCGCCTGTGCGTCTGAGCGCTCAGAAAAATCCTGTCTCAAAAAAAAAAAAAAAAGATCCATGCCATGATGGTCCAATTCCTAGGCGTTTTTGCTCAAATATAATACTGCATCGGGAATAAATTATTCGACGATCACCTGGAAAGCATCGACATCCCCGATAATCTTAATTCGTTCATCAGTCCAGATAATCAGTTATTTAGAGGGGGCTCAAGTTGCGATTGTTATGGGTGCTTCATTTTCTCCCAGAATATTTAAATTTGGGCGTGTTGATTAAAATGCGAGCTTGATTGAAGCCCGGATATTCGGCTTTGTCCTGATTATAATTTAGGCGTTAGTGCGCTTCGAAAGTTCGAAGGTCATAATTGGTTCCGTGCTGTAATCGATTTAAACCACGATGAGCTTGACGGTTTTCGAGAGCTAAGTAGCATTTAAAATACCTGTTGAAATCCTCTTTGTGAAGTAAAGTGAATTAAATAAAAAGGGGAATTGGTATTCAGAAGTGCTGAGCTGGTTTTGGCGTACATGTATTTCGGGAAAGAATTAAGTTCTTCTTCCTCGGCAGCACAAAGATCAACAGCAAAGGTTTTAGGCTTGGTCACGAATAATTTTAGTCGGGAGAATTTAATTTTCCAGGTTTTCAATATTTTTTTCGGATCATAGAAACTTCGAGATGCTCTCATGGACAATTTATCTTTCTTAGCTGCGAAACAGTTTCTATTCGGAATTCAGGTTGCACAGAGCAAGGCTGTCCCTAGCTTTAGGACTCCCGAGCTTGAGAAGATAATCACACATGAAACGTTTTAAAGCCGAAGTCTCTTCTGCTGTGTCTCTTTCAATATTTCCCGTAGAGGTAACTACTGTACAATAATGCTTTGTTGTTCGACGAGAATCGGTATTGAATGACGCACGAAGAAATTGCAGCGGACAGGGTAAGAATGTCAGAGGTGAACGGCCGAAAAACTTCGTTATGCTGACATTGGTCTCTAATCCTCTTCATGTCGCTGCTTTCGCTCCACTATGTCTCATGAATGTTTGCTTTTTTATCCTCTTGTATATAATGTATTGATCTTTCTTTAGAAGTACGAGCCTTATTTTACAATTATTTTACAAAATCGTATGATGTGATCGAGTCAGTGGGGAGCCGAAACGAATCCTCGTTTGTGTTCTGAACACAATTCTAAAAGTTGGACTAAATTTTTGTCGTTCTCGAAGCGTCCGTTGGAATCTATGGCATTTATTTTCGTGAAGACTATGTTATGCTTTTTGGCATGAAGTCCCGAGAGAAAATGTTTCTGTGAGATTTACTAGATAGCTAGAAGATTCGAATGAATTTTAGACATTACACTCGTTTTCACATTTCAGACAAATAGCGAGCCGACGTTTACTTGAATGTTTTTCAGCATTTTTCCACGATTACTTTACTGTACAGTATTTTTTTGAGTCTAATTAATTTTGAGGTCCTTTAAAAAATAATTTACTTCGAAAGGAATCCCGAAAGAATCGGTGCAACTATTCTAACTTCCCTAGCTTCTTCTTGAGTCACTTGGCGAACTCAGATTTCAAAACTTGTTTTTGACTTTTTCGTTTCGCCCGATTTTTCGTACTCCCCCGTGTAAGCAAGCAATGATCAACCTTTTTAGTTGATACAAATATGCTTCAATTGAAATTTAATCGATCTTCTCAAAATCAGTTGAGTTACAAGTCCTTTTCTATAATCGCCATCAATGTGCACTTCTCGTATAATTGAGGGAAAGAAAAATGTGCAGATGACCGGTTTTTTCGCTCGACGAGAATCCGTGAAATATTTCGATCGTATACCATTGTATTCCGGTTGTTAATCTGATGACGGGGCGGGAGAGTCTGATGAAAAGGGCAGCTGATTGCGCAGAGAACAACGTCATTCGTTGCCTTTTGACCTAAATAGAGAGGATGCTAATGTTCCATTGGGCATTTCGAAAGTTTACCGTCTTTCGTGTTGCGCAAATATTGTGAGGTCAGAAGAGAATAAATCCGCCTCCGTTAGTCTCTCACTAATAATGTAGGATCTGTGCACGATTGTGTGCTTAGTTTGAAGGTTTTGGCCAACTCGTCACTGGAATATTTTTTACTCGTCTGGATTTATTTTTGCATTTCGGGGATCGTCGCATCGATGTCAATATTATGTTTACCAAGATGTACGCTTCTTCTTGATTTCGGGCAGCGATTTCTGGAAAAAAACTTCACAATGCCAGAGAAGAGAAAACTCCGAATACGAACTGAAATCCGCGTTTAAAATAGTGACTACAGTAATGTGATTTCTTTTTGGCATTTGCTTTGTTCAACATTTCAACTGTTGACAATTTTAAGGCTGGTTTTTTTCTTTTAGATTAAATATCTTCCAGATTGAGGGCGAAGATCTGAGGTAAAATTTAAAGAAATGTAGAGCAACGGCGTGCATTTTTTTGCTTGCATTGGGCGTGTTAACATTTTATAACGTTCGAGCGATCGTTTTTCACCGGATAAAATTTCTGTTTGTTTCGTCCATATAATAGGCACCTTTCTCTCTGAAAAAAAAATGTTTGAAAAATTGAGGTGCGTCTTATTTTGAGGGACTTTTGATTTCATGAGTATGATTCCTCTTTTTGTAAATAAACATTTTGAATAATAATCGGAAGCGAAATTCAATCTTACAATCCCTTACTGCCATATTTAGTCGGAAAGGAGATTTGGAATTTTCATTTCTATCATGTGTTCAAAAAGGCAGGATGAGGCGGGTTTTACGGTTTAGCATGGGTATAGAATCAGCAGACTCCCTCTTGATTCGGGGAAATTGGACGTAATCAGCGAAGTGTGTCCGACATTCGCTGTCGAAGGAGTTGATTATTTCATGACTCTAAGAATAGCTGTTTGTTCGATAGTGGATATTTCAATGAAAATACAGTAGTCATTCGATTTTCGTTCAAACGAAAAAAGTGCGATAATCTTTCTTTCGCTGCCAATTTTTATTTTATTTTATCTATTTATTTATTCATTGCAGGGTCTCCTCGCGGCAATTCCGCTCGCTTACATCCTGCCCACAGCGTGCTTCATCCGCATCGACTCTAGCAGTCCGCGGACGTCGAAGCTGAAACTTATGGCCTACGTGTGCTGCGTCTTCGGGGTGCTCGTCTCCTTCGTCGGCCTCATTATGTTCATCATTGATTACAGCTCAGACTCTGTGTCGTCTTGCTCGCACGGCACTGAAATGCCTTATTGCCCGCTCCCGATTGTGTCCAGCGCGAAGACGGGCCTGGCTGCGATGGCCAAAAATGCTTCTCTCACCCGCACTGGGTTCGGGCGCTCTGGTTAACTGCGTCCATCCTATTTCCGGATCTTCTTTTGCATCCCATGTCGTGTGTCTAATGTCTTCATTATTCTTCTCTCTCACTTTCTTTCGGAAACCGGCTACGGTAACGAGGGTTGTCCCACTTGGGCGCGACCTTGATTATTCCTACAATAGGTATGAATGTAAAAAAAATAATGTATGATATAGCCTATGATGTAAGGTTGTGGAATTTTTTAGAACAAAAATTCCATTTGCTGCTTGCTGGTGGAGCGAAAACTTTCCAGTTCCGGCCTTAGTTCTCCACCAATGTCACAGGGTGCAAGAACATTTTCAGGCCATCTATAAAATTTAAATTTTGAAAATAATCATCTTATCTAAATTTTGGATAATGTATAAAATAAAAAATAAATTTTGATTTCAGCGGGTTTGACAAATTTTCATCACCCTGTGCATGGGTGGGGAACTCTGGCCATAACTAGAAAATTTTCACTTATCATCATGCAGTAAATATAATTTTTGTTTTAAAAATCGGGGGGGGGGGGGATCCCAGTACTCTATAAAATCATGGGCTATATCGGCACTGAAATGCCTTATTGCCCGCTCCCGATTGTGTCCAGCGCGAAGACGGGCCTGGCTGCGATGGCCAAAAATGCTTCTCTCACCCGCACTGGGTTCGGGCGCTCTGGTTAACTGCGTCCATCCAATTTCCGGATCTTCTTTTGCATCCCATGTCGTGTGTCTAATGTCTTCATTATTCTTCTCTCTCACTTTCTTTCGGAAACCGGCTGCGGTAACGAGGGTTGTCCCACTTGGGCGCGACCTTGGTTATTCCTTACAATAGGTATGAATGTTGAAAAAAAAATGGTATGATATATCCTCTGATGTAAGGTTGTGGAATTTTTTAGAACAAAAATTCCATTTTCTGCTTGCTGGTGGAGCGAAAACTTTCCAGTTCCGGCCTTAGTTCTCCGCCGATGTCACAGGGTGCGAAAACATTTTCAGGCCATCTAAAAAATTTAAATTTTAAAAATAATTATCTTATCTAAATTTTGGATAACGTATAAAATAAAAAATAAATTTTGATTTCAGCGGATTTGACAAATTTTCATCACCCTGTGCATGGGTGGGGAACTCTGGCCATAACTAGAAAATTTTCACTTATCATCATGCAGTAAATATAATTTTTGTTTTAAAAATCGGGGGGGGGGGGATCCCAGTACTCTATAACATCATGGGCTATATTAGGATTTGTTTTTTACAATCACACCTACTCGAGAAATAACCAAGCCTTCGCCCAAGTGGAACAACTCCCGTACTTCTTCCGGGTTTCTCCAAAAATTATAGAGTCCTGATACTGTTACCAAAGTCCACTAAGAGACATAATGTATCGAGAAGGTATCTCTTTTTCGGATGATCGAAAAGCAATGACATTCTGATTGGAACTTTCGTGTTGAAAATTTTGGAGGGGGAATTATTGTTTTTTCCCCCCAGAATTTTAAAGGCTGAGAAAGCTGCGGATTACTAGCCAAATAATTCAAGTAAGAGTTGAAGGATTAGAAGAAAGATTTATTTGAATTTCGAACGAAGGTCATCAGGGAAATTGAGGGACGGGGTGCGGAGTAGAAATTATTTTTAGAATGTACTCATTTGCGAGGCAGAGCTCGTATATTCAAGCGGTTTCCCCGAAATTAGTGCTAGGTTTTATTCTTGGAGTAATCGGCTATTATATAACTTATCCTGGAAGTCTAATCACGTTTTGGATTAAAGGATAATTTTAAAGATTCCGTGCTTCCCCGAGGCTTCAAAGTGTGGATGCTAACGAGTTTTTTCCCTGTCGAAATTATTAAATAGAGTAGATGAAGTTTTCTTTATTGCATGGAAAAGTCATGGAACTTCCGTTCGAACAAATTCCTGGACGAATGCCTTCCAGAATTCTGATTTCAAAAGTTTTTGAAAGACGGCGGATTTTATGGCGAAAATAATTATTGCTGTATTGTACTAATTCAATTGGATTTATGAAGTTCAGCCTTCGTGATTTTACGGAATGAATTTATTAATCTTCTTGACACATGTCTCCTGGAAGATATTCTCTCTTCAGACAGCAAGGGTCCTCGCGAATTTTTTTTCGCAATATATGCGTTTGCTTGTCTTAGATGTTTGCCTCATTTATGAACCCCTAGCTTTTTTTTTTTAGAAAAGGACCCAAAGAAAATTTTGCTCTTCGACTAATTTCAGACTTCCGAGTTCATTTGCAAACCTTTTGAGCATATTTTCAAAGGTTATTTCTGGGCTATAAGCTCGATGAAGCGGAGCTAGTCAATCATGGCGTGAAGCTTTAAGTGTTTTTCTGACCTTTCGAAAACATTTTCGTACAGTTTCCTTCCCAAATGTGATGAGATTCGAAAAAAAAACCAAAACCAGCTGAGAGAAAATCCGGCGACGATGTTGCGTGAGATTGGACGAGTTGCTTTTTAATTTATGAATTTCATGCATGTTCACCGCAGCTCGTTTCGAAAGATTGCGTGGAAGAGGTGATAGTTCTTTTATCTTTCTTTGTTCCTGTGAACTGTGGACCGTGAAATGTGACACTGTAAAGAAATTATTTTGCGTTTAGGTGTTTTTCCTCTCAAGAGAATTCGGAGCATCGCTTTTGCTGCTTTACGAAGTCGACAGAACGAATAGAGTACTCAGTAATGGGGAAAACATTTTTGTTTGTTTGCGTTGAAGGTAACTCTTGCGTGATCAGAAAGACTTGTGTATAAGGATTAAGGAGAGCGTTGATGTTGTATCGCATTGTTTCAGCTTTCAGGTCTTAGTTCGCTTCCCATTGATGTAAAAAATATCCAATTGAGGGTGCGTGATTTTGGGATGCTTCTGGATCTAAATTTTTCAACCATTCCAAAAATGGTCGTGACAATTGTTTGTTCGTGTGTGGTTTTTTTTTCTCGGAAACGAACAAACAAAAATTCGAACGTTTTAGGAGAAAAGTTTCGGTGTTGGGATATGGAAAAAAAAAGTTTTTATCGTGTCGGTGGAGCTGATCGCCAAACTGAGCTTCAAGTTACGTATATTTCCTTATCCCTTACTTTTTACGTTCGGGAGAAGTTTTATTCCCGCTGTTCCCTGAAGAAAATCCCGCAGCTACGAAAATCCTGCCTGTAACAAAAAGTTAGAATCGATGACGAAAGTTCAGAAAAAATAAATAAACGTTCTAAAATTATATTTTCCATTGAAGGTACCTTGAGCACGAACGTTAATTTTCAAGTTATGATTAAATTTAATTTTCTTTTGAAAGCAACCCCAAGAATCTCCGAGTTCAGCAGATATGTACGATGAGAAGAGATCTTTCGTAGTTGTTGTCTCCTGAGAGAATTTAGCAAGTATCAATAATCTTTAAATTTGGCCAATCTAATTAAAAATCATTGAGGCAGATTTACTGAAGCAATACCACGCATTTCCGTAACTGCGGGCGTTTCATCCACTCGCATTCCCACAAAATGGCACAGGAAAAGAATTTGCAGCTTCCTTGTGGAAATCGCTGCCTGCTTTCGACCTGTGTTGCGATGATCAGAGCTTTCAAAAACAAAAAGAGAGATTTCCTTTCGAATTTTTTTTTTTTTTTTTGCGGGGCCAACGAGGCAGCGAGACTGTGTTCGTTGTTCATATCTGAATTGCGCCGCTCGCACGCCACTCATTTGCGAAGTCTTTGAACTTTTTTTTTAAGGCTGAAAACTTTCGCGTTCGTTTGAAGAGTGTGATTGCTTTGAATGTAATTGAACGTCGGACGTGGCTGAAACCGAGTTCGAATCTTGTGTGTTAATGAGGCGCCGGCTTTGAAGTTCCGCTTGTGCCGAGGGGAAACGTTCTATTTGTCTGCTCTCATGGAGAAAATGAGGTCTATATCGTTCAATGATTCGACCGTGACCGTTCGATCTAAATTTCGAAAGAATTTTCCATTGATCGGAGAAAAGTAATTAAATAGAACGATTACTCCATATTTAAGTGATGATGGGTGCTCCTGTTTTTTAGGTACTAAAAATAGATTATTCTGCTAATTTACCTGGAATAATTTTGTTTGCTTATGATAATGTCACGTGGCTTCGAGAATAGGTCATACTCGGGTAGAACAATAATAATTACACATAAATGACTGAAATAGGCCCATTTCAAGAATACACGTAACCGATAATCGCGTAAATACGGTCAAGCTCTAAAACTGATGTAGTTTAAAAATGCAGACTCCACATCACGTTTTTCTTTGTTCGTTTCCTGTTGCAAGTAAGCGTAGATGGCGTTTTCCCACAGAGATACTGTAAATTGAACTTTTTTTCACTCGAGTGACTGATTTTCTTCAATCCTGTTGAACTGCGTGAAATTTTGTTTTGTTCCTCAGTTTTGTTCTGCGAGAGCCGAAAGAAGTTGCGTGTTGTTGAATGTTGGATTCTTTAGAAAAAAAAATAGAATTAAGAGCTGTGGACAAATGCAGCTGAGACTTAGCCCTGAGAACAGGCGTGAAATTGGACTATTGATTCATCGATCAATTTTTTGACTTATTCGGCAGTTTGTCTTCTGTATTCGTTTACATTGTATTGATAGCCTTTATTCGTTTCAGACGAACTTATAATTCCATAGCAGTGTGGGTTCGAAGCCCCGGCGAAACAACATTCACGCAAATGAAGGATTCTCGGTCATGCATGCGGTAAGTTTTCTCAAATTTGGAAGGTGTGGACAGAGATCAAAATAATAATCCAGCTTTGGTCTTGGATCCTCAGGAATGCGGAAGGAACCCGTTTTGCATGTCCCTGGATGCGTTACGAAGAAGGAGCGGATGTCCGTTATGAAGCTGGAAAGATTATGCCATGGTCTGACAGACGCGACATGCACATCCGACAGGCTCTTGGATTTCTACTTCAAGGTACCCGTCGGTGCCGACGATCCGCTCGCCTTCAGGGTTGTAGCAGCGGTTTAATGTTACCCTCCTGTCCCGAAGCTGCTCTTCTTTGCAGCACAGGCACATCTGAAAACACATTGCCAGAGATTTAAAAAATATTTCTTCCAATTTTTCCTTCGAAGAAGAAAAGGGAAATTTTCTAATTTATAAATATTTGCGAGAGATTGTGTCTCAGGTTTTGCTTTCGAAGAACGTATTAACGTGATATTACAATTGACTTAACCTGAAAGGAATCTGTCTTGATCAACGCTTTCTTGGTTTCCATGTTTGCCATTAAACGACTGTGGTAGAACGTTAAAATGATTATTACGACTGATGGAAGAAAAATCAAATGCGTTCTTAAAATAGCTGCTGACGTCATAAATTCAGTCACAAATGTATAATTGAGTATGCCGGTATTTTATAACTTTTAGTGCGAAGTAAGAAATAGCTAAAGAATACATTAGTTTTTCTCATAACTCTAGTCTTCTAATGCCAACCGTATTTTTGTCAGTTCAAAATTTTTATAGCCGAAGCTATAAAAATATTCGAATCGCTGAAAATTTGCAAAACCTTACCAATTCATTTTATCCTCCTGTGCTTTTTAAGTTGGTTTACGCGCTACATCAGACTTTCGTAAATTTCTTCTTGGTTTGTCTTGAATAACGTGACTTCTAAAATTTCTTATTGAACGAGCAGAAGTACTGTACATACAAACGAATACTTTTCATTTTTGAACTGCGAAATTCCATCGGCCACACGTAAATTCAAATTTTAAAGATATTACGAACAGATTTGTGGAAAGTGATTGGAAAAATATACGCACCTTCTTATACAATGAAGGATATCGCAGACTTGGCTGCGACTGTGAGTAACACGCTCCCTCACATTTGCTCACCGGCAATTCGCTTTCACATCGCCTGATGACGTGTCCATTGTCGTCGACGACCTCTGACATTTGCAAGAATAAATTAAGAGACGAAATAAGGTGCGCTGGGAAAGAAGGGTTTCTCATGCTGGCTTATATAGGAGACTCTCATCAATTCCCAGCGAGATTTTTTCAGATCATCTTACATTTTTTTCGTTTCAATGATTGAGAAAACACGCGTTCGCGGTTTTTGAATTTTTGTGGAATTGCATTTTTAAGTTTGTTTTTGATTGCTAGAATTATTAGGTGGTTCTCGTTAATTTCTCGATGAATTTTTTCCCAGATATTCAACGCTGTGCTGTGAGGACGGGATTCCTTTCGGTTTGAAAAATGCGTACGTTTCTCGACGAGGACGGTAGATGCGATGGTCTGGCAACTGCCTTCGGGAAATTCAGTGGGGTTGTTGTAAGGCGTCCCCATGGCGGCTGCCCCTGATGCCCGCGACGCTAGCAGGCACCATACCAGCAGTGCCGCCGCGCCCAAAGGCATCGTCACACTTCTCGACCCCGCGACGACACCACCCTGTCAAGGGTTCCCTAGAGAAAAGCAAGTGATTTTATTATAGTTACTTTTTGGTTTTCCTATATTTGATACGCCTTTTTTGCCAACTTCAATGTCAGATAGGTGTCGCCAAAATAACTCGGATTTGGAGAAAATTCGGGTGATACATGTGCGAGAAAATTATTGCGTTTTTGGGGTGTACGTAGATTGCTTTAACCGAAAATGTTTCTTCTGAATCTTTTTAAATCATTGATCGCCATCAATCCATACGTGGAATGCTGTGATTGAAAGGAACTTGACGAAATTCAACGATATTTCTGCGAGATAATTATGGAGTCATTGGGGCGTAGAGTGTTTTAACCGAAGAATTGTCTTGTAAACCTTTTCGATTCATCGTCCTCATTACTTTCATAGAATACTGTGAAGGAAAGACATTTAAATGCAGCAATGAAACTTCGCATATTCTAAGGAGTAATGTAATTTCATCATGAATGTCATGAATTTCCTTTACGCCCGATATTTTTGAAGAGTTCGTATAATCTTGTAATTTTAAAAAATCTTTTGCCGATAGGGTAGTAACTTGATTCGTTCGAGCCGGAAAGCAACTGTCGAGCTTTGCGTTCGTCGCCGCCAAATAAGTGTCAGCATTCGTGCTCTACATCTGCGCGAACAGTCGACCTACGCAGATTTTTTGCACTCACCCCCGCCAAGTTGCAAAAAGCATCTGCCGCTGGGCCTAAAAGCTCCATCCCTTAAATCATACACGATAGTGCCATAACACTAAGAGTATCCTATATTTGCCCTGTGTACATCATTAATGGCATGCAGAAAAGCCATCAGGTCACTGTTGGGATCCTTGATGAGAAAATATATGTACAGTATGCATAAAAGGAAAAAAAACGAAAATGGCCTATGCAGTAATCATCACGCTGGGTTTGTTTTCCAGATGGCGATTGAACAGTGGGGTTGAGTGCCGGGCGTTGATGGGAATTCGGCTACTGAAGCACTTGGGGGTTCCTTGTTTTGATCCAGGTTCCCCTAAAAGCCCCGAACCAGGAGCCGTTGACCGGGTTTGCTTTGTTGACCTGCGCAAAAGCGGGCGAGGAGAAATCCGGAGGAAAAGGAAGGATCCTTGGTGGAGCAAAAAGCCAGTTTTCAACCAGAACCGCAGTGGGCAACGCCTCAACATGAGGCGGGGTAAGTAGGAATTATTTCTAAGAAAAACCTAAGAATTTTTTTAACCAACCGACTTTTGCAAGAAAAATCGTTAAGTGATTCTTCAGATTAATGGTGGAATATTTGAGGTGAAAGGAGAAATTTGATATGCTTTACTCTTGCAGTCGAACTTCCATAATAGTCTGGTCTTTAGTTGTTCACGGGGAAGAAGAAAAAATTAAATTGGTTAATGAACCTTGCAATGAAAACTTGAGGCCCAGAATATCATAATCGAGCATTTTTATTGTCGGAAGAATTATGTAGGTAAAAAAAAAGTCGAATATTAAAGGTTCAACTGTATGAGGAATTAAGCTTTTCAAAGACATTGAGAATCACGCAATACTATGTCATTCAGTTTAACTTAATCTCTGTTGAAAAGTAACCGCGATGCATATTTTCAAAATACCAGGTAGGTTTACAGTCAAAAATTTGGAAAAACTTATTCCTGAAATTAGAACATAAAATTTTGGTATAAATTGAACTTGAATTTTTCAACTCAAATTGTTTTAACATCAAAACAACTTATCACGCACATTTTGTTTTTCTCTCAATTAAAAGATTAATGTGGTACTTGTCATTATTGGCATTTCTTGAAGAATATGAAAGAATTTGTATGAACATTCAGATTTATGAAAGAAAGTCCCTCTTTTCAGCTATAACATTTTGATCAGTGCAGATATGAATATGTTCTTTTTTATGTTCAGCGGGCATTAGGAATGCCTGGATGGCCTTTTGCTTGATTGCTGCTGCGGTTGTGGCGAACGGGGATCTTACAAAGGAGTGTGAACGAGTGCGTATCATACACGTCGTTGATCTGCCCGGCTGCTTGAAGAAGCCGGTTCCATCTGTAATTTGCCAAGGGCATTGTTCTTCGTTTGTTCAGGTATAATAAATTGAAGTTTGTAATTTATGAATATTGTATTTACTTTATACAAAAAATTGTAAATTACTTACATTCAGCACAAATTTCTAATCCTTTTTTTGTAAGCAATATTTAATGTTATCCATTCAAGGAAAGAATTTTCAAATTCAGTAGTTTTATTATGCATTAACAAAACAAAAATTATATTAAAAATAAAGGAAGATTAATATGTTGAATAGTTTATGCTTAATATCAATTACTTATTTTATACAGGAAGTATATAATGGTATTTTTATTCCAGTGAGCCAAACAAATAGAGCCGAATGTTGGACCGTGCCAAATTGTGCCAGCCAGACCATTGAATTTTCCATCCTCCTTCATCAAAGGGCAATACTGAAGATTTTGCAATAGATCAAATCTTTTTTCTGCTTCTTGCGATAAATAAAGCATTTACGTCATCTTTTACTTTGGATTTTTTATTACCGTTACGATTTTTCACATTTTTAATGCTGAAAATCTAATAATATATTGCCCTTTAACCCAAATATTCAAGAAGGATGGAAAGACTCAATGGTTTGGCACAATTTGACACCCGAAAATAGCCATATGACTGGCGTCCAACATTCGACACTACTTGTTTGGCTCACTGGTTCCCACCCACCTTACATCCAAAAAAACTCACAAATCCTGGGGAAATACGGCCTGTTTTGCCGCGTAACAGGGTTCCTTCCTGGAAACTTCCTCCATGAATTTTTCTACTCCGCCGGTCTTCATCACAGCAACCTTAAAGAAAAATTCGTAGACATTTTTTCACATTAGGTTCTCAAATTCTGAGAATCATCAACAACAGTACCTCGCTTACTTAAGGATGAACGCACCAGTTCAGATATCTGCGTATACTGATTTCAATGTCATGCTGCTTCAAATTCTGAAAAAGAAGAGATTCAATTAATTACCCCATTTAACTCTGATGTTGAAGGGGGTTCGAAAGTTGCATAATCTTAGTATGACACCCGAACGGATGCACACGATAAACTTGAGAGACTGTATACAGGTTTTATTAATAGCAAGTTTTAAATTTAGTTTAATGTACAGAAATCTTAGTTTCATGGTGGATATTAAAATGAGATGACCTTTTTTTCATTTGGAAGAAATAAAATGAAAGTATATGCTCTTGTGAACTATATTGATTCACTGTACCTGGCAATTTTTTCATAAAATCAACGGCATCCGGCTTTTCCTTTCTTAGGTCTCCGGTAAGCAGCCATGGAAAATTGAGCGTTCCTGTCGATGCTGCCAAGAAGACGGAAATTTAGAATCCAAAGTCCCCTTGATTTGTCCACATCATGCTATCAAAGTGCAACACGTGAGTAAAAAGCTGACTAACATTCCTCGAAAACATTTTTAACGAATTTTTCTGTTACGAATTCAGGTTAAAGCGAAAGCGGCGAAGTCTTGCATGTGCAGAACGTGTACAGAAGTGGAAGGGAAGGTAGTAGCAGGAGAAATGAGTCTGGCACCGACTGATGATTCTACCTTCTTTTCGGCGCTGACTTCAAAGTAAAGCATATGCATATTTAAAACCGTGACGATTGATTCATTCCGACTGTTGATAGTGCGTATGTTCCTTGCCTCGCTCAAATACAATATCGAATAAGCAAACGAAGTTTCCATTTTTTTGTCAACATTTATACAGTAGTTGAGTTCTTGATCCATCTCACAAGAACCTAAATTGCTTCTCTACTCTCCGTCAATTCCTGCGCAACCACACTCTTATATGGTTGCCCATGAGTGACTTAGGGAATAAGAAAATTCAACTGAAGGCTTTGAGGCCCGTTTGGATTTTCATAATTTTTAGCACATATCACTGTAATATAACTTCGAAAATTATTTCATTGACTGGAGCTATGGATTTAATTTTAATGGACTCGAAATTTAGGTTCTACGAGTCGAAATTGACAGGAGCATTCTATAGAAACGGTGGTTTTCAATAATACGTGTTTGTCTACAAAAATCAGTTTCTGCAAGACAAGAATTTACAAACTGGTACTGTTAAAACCTACTACTGTTGCTTCGGGACACTCATCTCAACTCAGAAGAACCCAGTTGTTGAATCCTTTTAAATTAATTGCTCTATGAAATAAACGGTAAAGTTATAATCCATTAATAGGTGCTTCGAAGTATTAATGCACTTTTTTTAATCCAACTCAATTCCTCAAACCCTGCAGTTAGATTCCCTATTCTTGCAGTTACTCAGGCACAAACATAAATGACGAGAGCCAAGGGCAAAGATTTTGGTTCTGGCGAGAGAGTAGGAGAACCCTGAGGAAACTAGGCAACCAACATTGAAAATTCGGAAAAGCTTTCTTGAGTGACATCTAACGTGAGTATTCAAATCGGTGAACCATTTTACGGCAGATGTCGCTCAACATCTAGAGAAAAACAAAGAATCGGGTTGTCACCACACCTACGATCAGTACTGTACTGCTGTACATATCTCAACTCTCAAGAAAGTCAGGAATGTGATTCTGAAAGTTTAATTCGAGAGCATGAACATACGTTTGGAGGCAGTAGTTATAGGAAAATTCTGCGAGGACAAATGTTCTTCATTCCCCAGCGCTGTTCATCAATGAAGCACACACTATTATCTCATTGCATATACTGTATAGTAATTCATTGTTATTCATTGCATATAATTCAATATTAATTACTAGAAGACGTAACGTATGTCCACGTTATTTTATTTATTGGCAAGTAACTTGGACGACATACCAATCCAAAAGTAGGAAAAAACGGGGAAATTTGCTATAATACCAATCTGAAAACGAACAGTTTCAATAGTATAAAACACGAAAAGAAGAAAATACCCTCAAATTAAATGAATATTTGTCGGGGGAATATATTTCCAACAGAAAAAAGACAAACCACAAAAAAAGCTACATCAACCTTCTTAGTCACAATTTTTTTTTATATTGCAAAGGTAATTGTATCAGCTTGACGTTGGTAGGATTTTAGCTCAACTAATTTAGGAGACGTTTGTAATAATATAACTGGAAATTCTTGCACTTGAATTATCACACGATTTAGTTCTTGAAATAAAGAAGTAACAACAAAATTGTTTTTCAAATCTAACTGAATAGTTTATAGTCATGATGAACTTGTTCAAGAAGTTTCAAAACTGCAATTTACTCTAAATTATACGAGTGACTAATTAATTAAAACTTTTTAAACTTCTGCTTTTATTTCCGTAATGGTTTCCACCTTTTTAAAATCACTCATTTTAGAGCGGAGAAGCGAAACATTCAGCGATTCAACGAAGTCGGAACGCAGGTCAACATTTTTTCTTCATTATTTAAGATGCTACAGTACCTGGTTCTGGAGGATAATGAAAAATGCATAATGAATTTTTCATATTCTTTAAACACGATTTTTCAGCACTGTATTCTATGCTTCTTGAGTAATTCCGTGGCCAATTATGAGATATTTTGAAGCTCCTGGAACTTTATAAAACTTCGATTTAACATGAATAGCGGAATGCTATTTTCTCATGCATCTTTCGTTTCGTCCTAGTTACGTATGCATTACTGTACTGCATTTTCGATCAACTGGATTTTACCGGAATAAAAGAGGAAATTATCTTTTATTCATTGTGGTGGTTAAGTACTGTACATTATCGCTCCAATTTTGAGAGTAGATCAACTAGATCTTATATTCAAGGAAATAACGAAAAAAAAACTGTTCGTAGAAAACAGCGGTGCATAATCGTTGAGATTTTTTTAGAGGCGTATTTTGAGGGGATTTCAAGGCACGTCTGTGAAAAAAATAATCTGAAGTACAGGATCCAAGGAAAGGGACACGTGACTCTATGAAGCAACGAAGTTCAGGGGATGAGAAAAATTTCGTTTTATATACTAAATACTGTACAATACACAGTATAGAACATTTTTATGTCGAGAAACCCCATAACAGAGAACGTTACATGGAAAATGAATCGTTTTACAGGACACAGAAAACCGTCGTAGAAGGAGTAAACCTGTAAAATGAATTTGATTGGACGTCTATTCTTGCTTTAAAGAGAGGAAATGACTCCATCAACAATACAGTATCACATTTCAAGGGTTGTTATTCGAACTGAGCAGCAAGGCTCACATTTCAAAGTAGTTTCTGAAAGTATTGCTCGGGCCTATTCCATGACTATGCATACATCCAATTTTAGTTTAAACATATATCCGGAGAATAATATTCTCATAGAATAGCCTTGAAAACAAAGGATCAGTACGTATATTTGAAAAAATTTACTTGAACGTAAGCCAGCTTGAAGAAAAGATGCAAATTACTGATTCAAACAGGGAAAAAATACCTCGGTTTACAGAAAATGTTTAGCAGAAGCTATACCACTCGAATCAAAATTATTCGAATTGCAGAGAATCTGTCAAACCGTAAGCTACTTTTTTTATCCTCACGAACAATGTTACTTGGTTTATGCGCTTTATCCGAGTTTCAAAGGTTTCTTCTTCGTTTGGCTTGAAAAACGTGAATTAAAAGGAAAAGCTTATTGAGCGAGCAGAAATACATTTCCTGCAGAGGAATGAATCTTTCCCTTCACTTTTCAGCAACCAAATTTCATCGGCAACGTGTAGATTTAATTTTCTTTAAACATGATATGAATCATTTGGCGGACAATTATGGTAAAATCTACGCACCTTCTTATACAATGAAGGATATCGCAGACTTGGCTGCGATTGTGGGTAACGTGGTCCCTCACATTTGCACACCGGCAATTCGCTTTCGCATCGCCTGATGACGTGTCCATTGTCGTCGACGAGCTCTGAAATTTGCGAGAATAAATCAAGAGACGAAATGAATCGCGTTGAAAAGGAAGTGCTTCTCGTGGTGGCTTGGGAAAAATACATCAACTTTCAGAAAATGAAGAAGTTTTTCTTTTTTCGTCGACGCACTTGCAGCGCATCTTTCAGTACGTGAGAGGGGGCTTCTATAGTTTACATACGCAGATTTCCGACCCGTGATGAAGTGCCTGATTGAAAGCGTCAACGTCTTCAGTACGTTTTTCAGGGCACGACTGGGGTTCAGCACTTCTCGCGGCAGCATTCATCACCTCCACCTCATCCACACACATCCTTACATTCCATTCATTCATCCCACGATGCTTCATCTCTGCCGGGCAAGTCCCACGACTACAGGAAAATGCCCGGGTAAGCGACTATACGACGCGTTGTGGGGTTTCTCCCTGTGTGAGCTTCTGCATACATACACGGTGTCCGCGATAAAGTTTCCTACAATTATTTTGTATTTACTGGAGTAGCACGCGCACTCCGAGTATGATGCTCACCCTCTTTGTTTGCCTGAAATTTGACCAAAATTGTATACCAGCAAAAGACACGCATCCTAGTTTTAAATGATTGTAAATTAATATACAGTATTTATATTATACTGTTGAACATAGTAATCCCATGGAAATTTTCAACAAGATAGCATTTTAAATTGGATTTTATCCCAACAGAACTCCCTGCTCATTACTTACACCTACACATTAGTCACAGCTCGCACCATTAATGTAATATATTTTTGCCTCAAAAATGTATACCAGCGCCCCAAAAGCCCACACCACTCAGCTGCCTAAATTTTGCAAAATATAGGTGGGTGTGATACTTGAGTAAGTACGTTAGCAAAGCATATTTTGATTACCGATCTGCGTAATAATTTTTTTAATCCGAAAATTTGGAGGCAAACTCTCTTGAAATGATTCGTCCAGCGCAGAGATATTCTTCGTATAAAAAGGATTCAACCTCACGAGGAAATATTCAAATCGAGGTTGAAAATCATGTAAATAGGAATTTATTGTCCTGAATAGATAAATTTCGCTGTGAGGGAATGGCATTTATTCAGCGTTGCGTTGATGGAGTTATGGCAGGGACCTAAAGAATAAATTCGTTGTAACGGTATTTATTAAAACATCTGGATTCGACCTGCGACAATAATGAAAAATAATCACCTGCAGGGATGAAACACGTGATGCATGTTAAGTTTTTTTCCAACGAAATATCCTAAACTTGCATCTGTGTGAATTTATCCGCATAAATGTGATCTTCATACTTCCAAAAAATGTTCATTATAATTAAACTACAGTACAATAGCTCCCATAGAATAAACGAACTATGCCTGTACAGTACATGATCGGTCAATCTAATATCCGATTCAGGGAAAATGCAGCAGACGGAAACCTTCAAAATTAGTGAATGCAGAAAGAAAAAAATGGCTGAGATCAATTTCAATGAACTAAAGCAATGCCAAAACAGAAAAGATCTAGAATCTGTTATGCTCATATTCACGTAATTTGCCATCCTACACAACAGTAAGAATACTATACTCCAAAATTTTTTTACTAGTTTACATGTTCCATCTTGATTAAAACAATGAACATTGCTGCATTATTCCTAAAAGTACAGTACTTGCACACAGCAATATACGAATCACTTTGCATGCAGAAAAATCCCCCAAAATAATGTGAGAAGCCTGGTCCGTCCACAAATAAATTTTCATCAAATACGGACGAAGATTCAACGACGTACTTCTTGTTTTAAGGGAAGAAATAATTATAGTAGATTAAAAAATTAATCTAAAAAACCACGTTTTC